AAGAAAAATTAATTGCACATATATAAGAGAAACTAAAACGAAATCCAATAAAATCGATACAGGATCACTATTTTATCAAAATCCACTTTTCTTTGAACTTTGAGCTAAATCGAATGAGACGTTTTTGAAACATTGGCTTATCTATGAAAATACATTTACGCGTGCGCAAGCAGAAGTATTAGATGAAATTTGATTAAATTGATATGGGAACATCTGCAAACCAACTATTATAATTCCTCAAAATTTCAGGAAAATCGGATGGAAGGTAGGAGGTGATGTCGCCGTCACATCGATTTGACTACAGATAGACCGACAGACGCCGAAGATAGTGTAATCCTTGATTTCTGAAATTTAAAACTTGACTAGAAATTTTCGATCCTGAGCACAAAATGTTTTTTTAACTTCTTGCACGAATACATTACTTTCTGACCTTTGGTAGTGAGGAAGCAATAATTATTTAACAAATTCACTTGCTTACCTTATGGGTTTGAATGAAATAAAAATTGTTCGATGGTTGCTATTTTTTATCTTATCTAAGAATGTGAGTATTTATTTAAGATAAATTAATTTATATCGTTTTGTAGATGAAAAAATACCCTCACCAATAAGTGTTGGAAGCTGAAGGACAGCTTCACTTAATCGAATGAACTGGAGAGAACTACTTGAGTAGGACAGGATCTAACGATGGATTGTAAATAGTACCAACTGAGTTTGTTAACTCAATTAAACTAATATATCACAAACGTTTCTTGTATATCTTGACGAGCAAATAACAATACCATTTATGAGTACCCTTGATATGGCATAAGAGTGAAAGCACCTACGTCACTACCACTTTATATCTAATTAAGTGCATTTTTCAAAAAAATCACTTCGAATTTATTAAAAAGTGACTTGTGGTTTTATAAGCACAATAATTGCATCACGTATTTTACTTGACGACTTTCCTGTATATGACAAGAAAAAGTTGTTTTTCAGATATTTTAGGGTCTGATGTAAAAGTGTTTCGTGATCAGTTTCCTTCTCACTAGTCATTAATATCCTTTTAACTAAATAAATAATAATAATAATAATAAAAAGGCTTAGCGAACCCGAAGGTTTGATGCCGACACCACCAATCGCTTATACACACCTCCCTCCACCGTTCGCCGTCCAAACCCAGTCCCTTCAGATCAGCTTTAATGCAATCTTCCCACCTTCGCTTCGGTCTACCCCTCGGACGGTTACCATTCGGCACAGCAAATATTAACCTTTTAGGAATTCTCTCGTTACTAAGTCCAACAACTTTACAAGCCCATTTGATTCGCCGCGATGAAATTATCTCAATTATATTACTCGGATACAGTTCACGCAATTCGGCGTTGTGTAACCGTCTGAACTCTCCGGTTAACTCTTTTAACTAAATATAATTATAACATCATAATGATTCAGAAAAGGAAGGAGAACGCTAGAACAGATCTTCTCCCGAATGGGCTTATGGCAGGGAGATAGACCATCACCGATGCTGTTCAACTTAGCCCTGGAGAAGGCGATAAGAACAATATCACAGCAAAATGGAGGGGTTCGTGTCGTAATGAATCATTAAATCCTTGGATACACAGATGATATATAGTTGCCCTTGGAATAATCTAGAGGACATTGAGAAACAAAATCCCCTCCACAAAAAGCTAAAAAAAAAAAAAAAAAAAAAAAAAAAAAAAACGCCTTCTCAATCATACTTTATGAGCTAATAGGGATCTTAAAATGCTTAAGATTCTCAATTTTTCTATTTGGTAAGTTTTAATCTTGTATTCCCTCCCTCATACACGAAAATTTGGTCGTGGTAGACCAGCGTTGCTTGAATCCGTTTTGCAATTACGGAAGATACAGCTAACAAACTTTTGTTCAACCGAACGGGTAAGAAAAGTCTTGTGCATACATCAGATATTTATTAGCAGATTTTATTTTATATAAAAAATAATTTAAAATCAGTAATTTTACAAAATCTGTTAGTGTTTACAGGTGTGGAGGTAGCGGCTCTGTAACACGAGCTAATGTTTTAATAGCGTATGCTAATTATTTACTTCCCCTTGTCATAAGAAAATATTTACATAGATAATGAAATAAATGCATGGTTCATCTACATATTCAAATTACTGTTATTACCTAACGGCATAATATTTTCACGGATCCAGATAACAGTAAATACAATGCAATTGCGAAGACCAACTGTGTTAACAATGAGCTAATAATCTCTCATTATTATTTTACTAAGCCTCAATATTTTGTACAAAATACAAGGTCCTGGCTTGCTAAAATGGCATGTATGAATTATCGTTGCAGTCAGAATTTCTTTTTCTGTTTTTGTTTTTGTAAAACAAGTTAATAACATCCAGAGGTGCTTAGAAGGAGGTTTGAAGGGAGTTGATGACTGATCAAAATTTTTTGAAATGGAAGCATATTTTGGTGGATTTTTGAATTTTTGAGAAGGACACATTTCGGCGAGAGATATGAGTTTTCAGATTGAAAAATTCCGTACTAAGGGGCAAAGGGATAACATGAAACAGATCTTATGATCAACGATTTTTTAAATTCTACTTTCGCTTACTCTGTTTTTAAGAACAGATGAGCAATAAAATATTTTGGGAGTGGAAGGAATAGGTCTTGCACCATCATACTTGAGGGGAGACACCCCTGATAACATCGATCTGCGCTTCAAAAATGAGACTTTTATAAATCGATTAATCGAGACAGAACTAATTAGATTCTAAAGATTTAATACCAAGTAGAGATCTCTGAAACCCTACTGGATTGTGCGCTTTAAATAACTAATAGATCTATTATTTTTATATAAAACATGATTAAGACTCGTCCATCACTTGAGGCAACCCCCATTGTTGCCAAGGAAAACCAGTGTACCCCCAATTACTAGAAATGAAACTAGTTGAAATATTATTAGAAAATTCTCTTTGTTGATATAGATGGGAATGTGTGATTCTATTCTATTGAGTCAACCAAGAAGTACAAACAAATAATAATAGCTAGCCTACACAGAGTGTAATCCGTTTGAAGAGTTCTAAAATTGAAACGAACAAATAGTACAATTAAAATGTTTCATATAATTTTTAGTTTAACTCTAATGAGTAGTACTAACAGTGGAATACATAATGACTCTATTGAACAACTAAACCAAAAATCAAAACTATATTATCTTTTTTCTTATTGCTGATTTTGGGCCTTCCTTGCCTTGGCTAAATATAAACGAAGATTATCATCAACATTGCTGTATATATCTATGGTATATATATGGTAACATCCATAAAAAAAAAAGTGTAATGCATCTTTTATAGTTTTAATTTATATTCCAATGGTAGAAAAAAAAGTTTATAAAGAAATGAATATCAAATGAATTTAAAATTGGAATATGTGGGAAATAATTAACCATATCAGAGTGAAATTACACGTATGTAATTTATTTAACATAAATATGTAACGTATGTAATATTATGAATGGCTTAGTAAGATTCGTCAACGAAACCCCGAGACGTTCTCATGTATCTCACTACTACGCTGAGTTAGGGTGGCTCTTCTCCTCCTTCAGAAGACAATATTTCCTAGATACATTCCTTTACCAAATAATCTATAATCATCGTCCGTCCTACGCATTCAATCCCCTTCAATTCAAGTCATCTATCCACTCCATCTCCACAAGATCTCGTCCTTCTGACCTTTATACCCCTTTCCACAAATCTGCCTCTTTTCAACACTCCTTTATTGTCCGCTCCACTACCTTTTGTAATTCTATCCCACTTAAAATCCGCCATGCACCATCCCTATCCATATTTAAAACCCTCCTATTCCAATTCCTCCTTACAATTCAATCAGACGCTGGGTAGCCATTTATTATGTAACAAAATTGCATTTTTCTCTATTTATCATTTGTATATAAATATATATTCTCTTTTGAGCATGGAAAAGATGTCTAGTCACGTTCTTTAATGTAAATGTAATAAGGTAAATACTTCTGCTATCACTTAGTTTTTAGTTATTTTTTTTATTGTAATATGTATTTCGGCCAGATGGAATGTTAATTTGTATTTACAAAATTGTTATCCTTAAGGGACTTTGTCCCAGAATAAAGTTGATTCTTCTATTCTTCTATTATATTCTATGTGGCATCAGATTTTTACAAATACCAATCAACGTTAGTATCGAAACAGTAAACTATCTTTTTTTTCTAATTGGCAACTTCGTTATCAAAATACATTTTGTGAGCTTACAAGATGATTTCTTTCCCGAGTATTGAGAAAATAAAATAAATCTCTTTTCCTCCATTTTTTTTTTTCATTTTATTTCTACTCTCCCTCCTTATAATCGTCCTTTCCTCGACTTTCTGTAACTGGTCGCGACATACACAACATTTTTTTCATTTATTGGAATAAATATAAATTTTCAGATTATCTTTATTCGACTAATGTTTTTCCCCTTCATTTTATTAAATATAATTTTCTTCCCATTTATATAGAGAACGGGATGGCCGAACACGTTGGGGCATAGGTTCCAGAGTGCCTGCGGCTATGAACAGTTGTGTGTTCGATTCCTACTTGCTTTGATTAATTTTCATTTCTCGGTGGCCTCGAGAAATGAATCTTACTATTACGCGGCGGCAATCTCAAGGTAGCCGTTAAGGGTTGGAAAAGGATCGTTTCGGCCCACTGGCTACTACCAATACTAGTACCAGTTCCATTTAGGTAAATACTTGTTCTATACTATCTTTATTGATTATTTTCTCATTATTTATAATGTTTAATAGGATAGGAATACATCGAAAAAAATCTTTACAATAGGTAATCATATTATGTTAATTATTTATTGGTTTACTTATTTACCAATTGAAGAATGCAAACACTAAACCACAATGGGCTCTTATTAAATCAAGGCTGCTCATGAGCACCTGTGGAGAGGGGATTCAATAACAGTATTTAATAACGCGATGGACGAATCGTAGAGCATACCTCACCATGATCTTGACGGCGGCCTTACTCACCATCCTGCCGTTGGTATCGGCCGATACCATCGCCAACATGTTCGAATGGTCACACGACGATGTGGCCAAGGAATGTGTTCGCTTCCTAGCTCCTAATGGCTACAAAGGAGTCCAGGTAATTTCTCATGATTCAGGGAAAATGTTATTGTAGTAGCTCCGATATGACAGATCTTTTAAATGTAATGTGATCTATCCGAGGAGGTCGGTATCCAAAAGTAATATTGGTAGAGAAAGCAGTGGCAAGATTGAAAGGTAGGGAGGGACTTTATTTCCATAACTAATTTATTTCAACAGTAGTTAGCAAACATTGTTTCACATCTGCTAATTTTGTGTGATTTGCAAGCTTGGTGCAATTAGTTTACTGGTTTACAAGTGTGTCAAATATGCAAATGGGATGGAAAAGTTTTCGTACAAACCAAATGTTTTTATAAATGACATCTCCTTAATTATAAACTGATTTAACCTTGCGCACGTTGTAGACTTAATATATATATTTAAATTAGTATTATTTCTCATAACAACAAGCCAAGGGACCAATCTGTTTTGTTGACGTTACTTTACCTTCTGAATAATGATCTCTTATTGTTTAAATTATAGTACTTTATCTACTTACTCTGTATATAGTTCATTTCAAGAGCTGTTTTATAAACTCTAAAAAGCTGACTGTATCTGTGAAAATTGTTCTGATATTGCAATTCTTCGCTCTTTTCGGATTTTTTTTATTTTATTGATGATATTTACAACTGTATTACAAAAAAAAAAAAAATACATTCAGTAAATGTGAAAAAAACAATATAATAACATGAAACCACTTGTTGAGAAACTACCCAATGGTTTAGCACTCTAGAAATGTTTTTACAAAAGGAGATCTTCTTTTCAGACGCCACGGAGGGTTGTCAGGGATCGAAGAGGAAGCAAGGTTAGAAACGAGAGGCTTTGGATGGTTCTGAAGTTTGTTATGTCAGGTCGTTATGGATGATTTTATTTGTGACAAAGTAAGGAGCAGTGAGGATTTTACGAAGGATTTTGGAGTAATTCGATGGCTTAGTGGAGCCCCAGAGCTCAACTCCGTAAGTTTAAATAGGTCTCATTGTAGTCATGTACGTGAGTCTTTTGTTATTGACTGGGAGCTTAGGGCGTTTTTCTAGTAAATGCTGGAGAAGTCGGAAACGTTTGTTGTCGTTTCAGTCTGGTATGAGGATTCCAAGTCAGACGTTTGTCTAAGTGGAGTCCAAGGTATCGAATTTGTTCAACAGGGATAAGCTGGGTATTATTAAAGGATACTGTAGGATAGGAGGATATAGGTTTACGGCGATTTGGGAAATTAAATTTAACATTACATCTTTCATAACTTCTTTTGTTTTCTATTTAATGTTTGACCTTTATTTCAGAAAATTGCAAAACATCACATTTTTTATCATTATCTTGTATAAAATTAGCTTAAACTCAGATGGTGCTAAATGGTATGTAATGATGTTATGTTACCATTACTATAAAAACTCCTATCGAGTTTTTCATATATTCATAAGAGGTCTCTGACCTCTAGGAACACACCCCAAAATCATTAAGAAGTGTTGGTTGCAAACATTCATCGGACAATTCATCTCCAGAACTTGTCTAACATACTGCCTCCGGAGAGTCAGTTATCCATCGACACACTACCACACTTTTGATTGGTTGAGACGTTTAACAATGGGAATATGAGCCTTGCAGATGAGCCCAAAATAGTTAGCCCGTCGGTCGTTAATGATATCATTCATTTTGGATGTGTGAACCTGGACCCATATGCAACTACTCGTGATTTACACGATCGCAGTAGGAGCTTTTAATGCCGAAGTGGCTTGTTATCTTAAAACGTGGGCGTACTGAATTTGAGACCAAGTTGCGATCTACATGACTTGTCAAAGGCCCAAGGTCCTGGATGTGCACAGCTCAGCGCATTGCCTGGCAACTCGGATCTAACGAGTTCGCGTCCCAGTGCCCAAGGTGGGAACTTTTAACTCTGCCATTAATCCCCCGACCTCCCCTCCTGACCCGGAAAAACTGAAAAATTGTCTAAGTTGAAAAAAGTGGATATTTTAAAATTACCCCAATTCGGTCAAAATAAACTATTTGGCAATACAACAATGCCTCTGCACATCTTTATCGTTTGGTCAAGGAAAACATATCGTAACTGCAAGCAAAAGACGTTTTTCCACATCCTACGTATAGCCCAGATATTGGTTTGTTTGGACCAATGGATCATTTTTCGAAAGGTCGGATCTTTGATAATTACAAGGATCTGAACCATAGGCGGATTTACGGGGGGAGGGGGAAGCTTTCGGGCTGAAGTCCCCCCCCCCAAAATGGTAAAATATAACCAAGTTTTATGGTTAAAAAATATAAAAAAATTATGTCTTAAACTATTGTTGCTCGTTTAATTACATTTATTATGACTTCAAGAATCACTTAAACACCATTTCATTTAGGTAGTTGGAATCTTTCTTTTTTTTTCCAAAGAAATTATCGTTGTATATATGAAAAAAAAAAGCTTCCGGGCCCTCTCCCAAAATTAATTCCTGGATCCGCTAGTGATGTGAACAGTTCTTTGCATAGAAATGAAACAATTGGTATCGGCATCAAATCCAATTACTGGTTTACAGATAGGTGAAAATGGTCGAATTATAACTCTATCTCAGTCAATTATACGATATTTGACTATTTTATGAAATAAAGTAATATTAAATATAAAAAAAAGAAATTATTAATTATGGAATGTTAAATTAAATTTCCAAAAGAAGCGAAGAATTCCAATATTAGAACAATTTTTACAGTTAATACTTCTCAGAGTTAATACAATGGCTCTTGACATTTACTATTAAGATTAAATACTCAAGTGGATAAATAAGTATTGATATTTAAACAATAAGTTCACTTGGCTTGTTGGTAATTGAAAATAATGATAATTTAAATTTATCTTATATCTACTGTGTCTGCAAGGTTAAATCCGTTTATAGCCAATAACATAAAAACAGATTTAGATAACAACACTTTTAAATTGAAACATTTATTATTTTTTTTTTTAATTTTCGTGTGTTCAAAGACTTTTTCAAACTACTATATATCTAGTTACGATATGAGATAAAGTTCAAAAACAGGTAATGTAGGCTAAGATCAAAAACACTTTTATTTAATGAGAGAAAAATTGGCTGAAAAAGTTTCAGTAAAAATATAATCAATAACAACATTAATCTTCCTCGAGATTCACCATTGCTTCAAACCATTCGCTATTGTTCAATTTTCCTTATCTAGTAGATCTTCATCCATGATAAGAAGGTATCATGGAGCAGACTGTGATTTGAATCACTTTCTGTTAGAATTAAACTGTGTTAGATATTGAAGCGGATTTACAAAACAGGAGAAAGAAGGAGGTACGAAGTTTGTAATTTGAAAAAACTCTGAAGTAAAACCAAATTTCAACTTGAATACAGCATTCTGACGGCATTCTAAAGGAAAGATATTGAGCATCTGGAGAAAGAACATTTCAGGAACATCTCAATCAAGGGGACCCCACGAACGAAGACGACAGGTATACTGGGTGTACAAATAGCTATCGAAAGGCTTAAAACAAGAAAGGACCCAGGGATGGACAACCTGTCATCAGATCTGTTCAAAGATGGAGGAGACGAATTAAAAGCTAAGCTACTACAACTAATCTAGAACATATGGGAAGAGGAAAGGATATCTGAGGCTTGTAATACGGCCCTAATCTGTCCTATCTTAAAGAAAGACTCTATGTATGAGTGTAGTAATTACAGAGGCATAGAGGCACTCCTTCCGATTGCCTACAAGATAATGACCAATATCCTTCTGAACCGGATATATCTGCATTACGAAAATATAATAGGAGACTACCAAGAGGAGTTTATAAAGGGAAGGAGCATGCTATACCAGATCTTCATCTTAAAACAAGTACCCAAAAAACGATGGGAAGCTGCTCAGGACGTCCACCACTTATTTATGAAAGTTATTACTTAACAATAAATATCTTAATCAAATCTGGCCAGTACAAATTGGCTTCGTTTAGTTAAGACTTCTAGTAGAATATCGATACAAGGAATACGTTCTTTGATTGTTTTATACACTTTACATAAATGATAAACAGTATTCTTCAACAGGTGTCGCCAGTGAACGAGTGCGCAGTAATCAACGGGCGGCCATGGTGGGAGCGGTACCAACCATTCTCTTACAAGCTGGTCAGCAGGTCCGGGGACGAAGCTGCTTTTAAAAACATGGTTGAGACTTGTAACGGTGTCGGGGTCAGGTAAGAGTTATCACATCACCATTTTACCTCCGCCAGAATTTTGAAAACCATTCATACCTAAGCTTTTTTTTTCAGAGTTTACGTAGATGTCGTCTTCAACCACATGTCTGCTAACCAACCTTCAGGCACAACGGGTACAGCTGGTTCCCAGCCGGACACCAACAACAAACAATACCCAGATGTACCCTACGGACCCGGTGACTTTCATTCAACCTGCAGTATCAATGATTGGGGAAATCGTTGGCAAGTATGTAGTTGCATCAGCTAACTGGAATGATTTCTCACAAAAACAGTCTCTAATTTTTTTTTAAAAAACATTGATGTTTCAGATCCGTTATTGTGAACTCGTAGGGCTCCACGATCTCAACCAGGCAAGCGAATATGTAAGAGGCAAGATCGTTGATTTCTTGAACCATCTTATCGATATTGGAGTCTCAGGCTTTAGGTATTTTTTTCCGATCTACTGATTCATAGAGTTCTATTTCTTAGGAGAAATTTTACTACACATATTTTACAATGTTTACTACACACAGTTCACTTTCTATCATTTTTATTTTCTTTCATTAAGTTAAGTATCCAATTTTTTAATAATTTATATCTATCCAATTATTTTCAAAGAGATCTTAAATTACTTCTAATATTTTAATTTTTTTAATACTTCGATTATTTCTAAAAATATATTTGTTTCTCAAATTTTAATTCGCATCTGTCATACGTTTGATATTAGGCAGATGTGCTGTAATCAATTTGGAAAAAATTATTAGGAAGAATAGGCATGCGGAAGAATAGTATTCAGCAGCACCTCTTCCTAGTCGATATTTGCTTACTTAATTCTGGAAAAGAAATCTGGAAAAGAAACAGATCCTTTTCAGTCTCCTTCTGATGACTATGTCAGCTGTGGTCGTGTCGTTTTTAAGCCTATTGCTGTGTCTATGTAATTTAATATGAAATCGGTAGTATAGAGTAAGTATGTAAATATGTGTTAGTCGATAGATGGGTGTCGTAAGTCGGTATCTTCGTAAGTCGGTGGTTATTGTAAATTTTTTGGTTTACGTACCAGGGAGCTGCTGTTATTAGTCTTATAGTTTTGGATTGGAAGGATTTTATTAGTTGTAAGTGCGTCTTTTTGCCGAACCGGAAATCTGTGAGGTGTATGGTCATGTGGATTTAAGCAGATAAATGTATGTATTTAACTTTGGGCTGATTTCTATTTTTTAAATTTATTTATGATATTTACAACTGTATGAGTATAAATAGATCAAGTAAATGTGTACACAGGAATATAACCACATGAAAAAGTTTATTGAGAAACTACCCATCGATAGCATTCTAATAACATGTTTACATAAGGAGATCAATATCTTTTCGGAAACCTCGGATGGTTATCAGGAATCGAAGAGAAAGTAAGGTTAGAAACAAGATTATTCGGATGGTTAAAATGTTTATTACGGAAGGTTACGTATCTGGAACCTGTGGAAACATTACAAACCTGTGGAACATTAACCTGTTAGCCGGGAAAATCCCTTATTACGCAGCATATAACGGGCGCGAACTCATTCACTAGGAGGTGTCAGTACGCCAACTCCGGAGGATGTAATTTTATATACTTTTTTTTTTTTTACTTATGCTTGAAATAAATTAATAGATCATTTTTTTTTTAGCCTAATCCCTTTCTTAATGTTCTTCGAAAATACACATCCCGCCCGTTTCAGAACGCATATATTTCAAGGTATATATCCGTATTTATATGTCCCACCCAGTTAACAAGTTAAGGTGTTTATGGGTTATTTTATTTGTGACAAAGTAAGGAGCATTGAGGGTTTTACGATGGATTTTGGATTGTAAGGATTGAATACGAGAGGAAATTGAAGGTTTGCTGTCCCTTGAGTCCCATAGCTCAACTCCGTAAGTCCAAATAGGCTTTTTAGTCATGTATGTGAGTCTTTTGTAAATAATCGGAAGGTTTGATCGTTTGTCTTGTAAGTGTTGAAGTAGTCGGAAACGTCGAGCGGTTTCTTGTCGTTTCAGACTGGTATGAGGATTCTAATTTAGACGTTTGTCCAGGAGTAGTCCTTGGTAACGAATTTGTTCAACAGGGATAAGCGAGGTATTGTTAAAGGACACTGAAGGACATGAAGTCAGGGAGTGATTATTTGTGACAAACTCTGGTGCATTCAGAATTTTGGATTGGATGCGAGAGAAATTTGATGGTTTAGTAGAGCCCTAAAGCTCGATCCCGTGAGTCCAAATAGGCCTTATTATAGTAATATACAGCGATGCCCATCCTCCCTCCCAAGGTCCTCCCCCACCAGCCTCCTAATATATTTTATTTGTCTTCTCTTCTTAAAAACAGCGCAAGCTAAAGTATAATTTTAAAAATCATAGGTCGTATATGATTACTCTCGTGTGTACTATGCTTTTCTCTTGTACTAAACTTTTCACTCCAAAAATTCGCAACTCCGTGAAAAAGTGTCTCCCTCAAAAATTCAAAACCCCATTAAAATGTGCTCCCCTCAATAAATGAAACCTCCTTGTGGGCACTTCTAGTAATATATACGACTCTTGTGTAAATAATTGGAAGTTGAGTGCGTTTGTCAATTGCTATAGTAGTCGAACAGATCGTGAAGTTTCTAGTCGTTTCAGTCTGGTGTGAGTCGTTTGTCAGAAAATGTTAATGTGATTAATACCTACATCGTATTACATAACATTTAATTTTACGTATAATATTATGAATTATATTACATCTAATATAATTAAATTTGATATCTGAGTATTATCATGTTTCCTAAAGGGTTGATGCAGCTAAACATATGGAACCAGACGACTTGGCTGTGATTTACGGGCGTACCCACAATCTAAACACAAGGTGGTTCCCTGATGGGTCGAGGGCATATTTTTTCCAGGAAATCTACAGCAACCAAGGTAATGAATAACCGATACATCATAGCACATTTTCGTGTAGATTTATTAATGCTTAAATTGAGATTTCAACTTTTTTTCCCTAGATAGCGATGTAATCAAACCACAGGAATATACTAAACTTGGAGGAGCTTTGGACTTTAAATATGGTTTCGAACTTGCGAGAGCCTTCACAGGTGGTAACCAGCTGAAATGGTTTTACAACTTTGGTAAGTAATTTATTTTTTTCTAAAAATGAAGACATATAATGCTGGGAGAATCAGCTCTCATTTCAATTGCTAGACAGCAGTTATAAAATTCTAAGAATAGTCCTTTTTGGTTAAAATATTTTTCAATCGTATTAGTAAGTTTAAAACACTGAACAATGATTTCCTTATCAGGTGAAAAATGGAACATGCTACCATGGAAAGATTCAGTAGTATTCATCGACAACCACGACACCCAACGAAGCGGAGTTTTCGGCATGAATGCCCTCACGTACAAACAGAGCAGGCAATACAAGGTAAATATTGTATACGAAAATGAAATGAAAAAATAATTTTATTCTGGGACTACTGTCCCCTAAGAATAATAACTGAGTTACAAATTTATGGATCTTAGTCTGACATAATAAAAATACAAACTAATTTACTGCTAATTGTTATTTCAATAGTGCAATGGATTGAAATTAAACATTGTACAGATGCAAGTAATTTTACATGTTAGGGGAAGTTTGAATGTGGAGTAGGTGTTGGAACAGGAATTGTTTGAAGGAATTTGTGGACGAGGATTGACGCATGGAGGTAGGAAGTGAGTTCCATAAGGAAGCAGCACGAATGACGAAGGATTTGCTGAAGGAAGAAGTTTTATGGGAGGAAATATAAAAGTCTATTGGTTGAGACCTAGTATTGAGAGAGTGGATAGAGGAGAGTAGATTAAGGAGTTCCAGGATGTAGGTTTTTTTATGATGGTTTTTGGTTCTGAAGACTTGGAAAAGGAAAACACCAAGGAGGAATTGTCGTCGGGAAGTAGGATAAAGCCACTTCGGTGTACCAGAGTGAAACATGTGAACGCCTGGGGATCCCGAAAATGTATCTTATGATACAATTCATGAGTCTCTTTAGTCTTATTTCTAGCCTGGCAGATAGCCCTCCATACACCAAACAGCCGTAGTCGAAGTGGGGGAATACAAGGGAGGTTACAAGGAGCTGTCTGGTTTTTAAAGGAATACAATAACGGAATCTTAGGAGTTGTTTAAGGGCAGGTATGGATTTTCGGGTAATCTATATGAAGGATGATGGGGAATTTAAGATTATCGTAATTATAGAGTTGTGTGTAGAATATACCTAATAAAAAGCAAAATATAACTTATAAACTTTCGCAAGAATTTGTTAAATTATAATTACGATTTCCTCATTATATAATGAACGATAGAATAAAATGAAAAAAGGTTTACACATTGATTGTTATATTGGACAGATGGCTAACGGATTTATGTTGGCTTGGCCTCACGAAAGAGCAGTAGTTATGTCCAGCTTCAGCTTCGACAACAAGGACCAATCGCCTCCTGCTTACCCTGTACCTGTCAACCAAGACGGTTCTTGCGGCGGAGGATGGGTCTGCGAGCACCGATGGAGGCAGATATATGGCATGGTGGGCTTCGCCAACGTTGTACAAGGTAATATCACCACCTAAAATAATATATTTTTCTAATTTGGAGTTTCTATAAAAAATCTCTATTCTAGGAACGGAAGTAAGTAACTGGTGGACAAATGGAAATTACCAAATTTCTTTCTGTAGAGGCGATAAGGGTTTCATTGCAATTAATGGAGAGCAGAGCGATCTAAATGCTGACCTTCAGGTAACACCAGCTTTGGATAAAGAAAACTTTAATCTCTCAAAGTTCTTAATAATAATTCCGATACTCTTTTCAGACATGTTTGTCACCTGGTGATTACTGCGACGTAGTAAGTGGTCTGAAACAGAACGGAGGATGCACCGGCACGACGATAACTGTCAGGCAGGGAGGAATGGCCAGCATCAAGATACCGGGTAACGCTGATGACGGCTTTGTTGCCATTCACGCACAGGTACACATTAATAGAATATATATTAATAGTAGGCCCGTGCGAAAAATTCGCACAGCATATTGTTATCAAATGCTAAATTAATAAGAAAAGAAAATAATCCAACGTATCAAAAGATAAAAGAATCAATTGTTACATTATCGATAAATATAATCGACAAAGGAAACAAAATTAATTTAAATCTTCATTTTTGTTTGGAACCAACATATTTACAAATTTCAACAAGCTGTATCTTTGCTAAAAATTGTCCGATTTCGATGATTTTTTTTTTCCTTTTGTGGGGAATTTAGTAATTTTTTATATAATTATGAGCATAACCCAGAGAAAAGTGTGTAATTTTTTAGTTATTCGCAAATAAAATTTCTTTTCTTTCATAACTTGTTTGCCTAAATTTTCGGAATGATTCGATAATTTTTCCCGCCTGAAACAGAAGGAAGCCTTCGAAATTGGTGGCTTAATCTTGAGATTTGGTGAAAAATTAACAATGATATGGCTTGCAGATAAAAAACACCATCGATAAATAATATAAACTCCTCCTGTCTCGATCATAGAGACCTCAAGTAGACGAAATGAAACATGTATCCAATGACAGTATTACAATTAACGTCAGGTTGTGCGGATGCGAACCCCATGCCTTGCGTTATCTCGAAAATAGTACGTTTTTGGGCTTAAAAACACAGGATCCTATAGTTCCAAAGGTCCAATTTGTCCTGCATCGATCTACAGATCTACCACCGTTCCAATATTGAAGCCTAGCAAAATATTTGTATCCACTTTATTTATTTTAGAAAGAACTCGCTAACCCCCCGTGAAATTCTGAATCCAACGGTACCCTATTCATGGTATTTGAGCATGACAGGAGCTTATATTTGGTGCAAAACCGATTTCGAGCCTTACTGTAATAATGTATGTGCGGATTTACAGATAACCACAGTAGTATGATAAATTAATAGGATGATGTCGTTTTTTAAAGCACGATACTGTGTTTATGTATTTATGTATGTATTAAATTATTCCAATGCAAACAATATACGATGCTAGGAAACAATAAATTATACATTACTGATAATTAAATTATTATTTTCAGTCTAAACTATAATTGGATAAGAGGCCTGACCCTGAAGACTTCAAGCTGATTCAACAAGTAAAATTCGTAACTGTATATTTTGTAATTTGAATGTTTTAATAAATTGGTAAACCATTCTTCAATTTTTATTTATTGAACCTTTCCCGACAAATACTTTATTTGAAGTGATACTTGTAGTTTTATATTTGCAGCGCTGAAGTATTGGTTACTACCCGCTGAACTAGATTTCTTCAGAACATATCTTACATTGAGAACGTAAATCCACGAGTTTTTGTGTTGTTTTTACAGGCCCATTTAAATAAAAGTTTCTATTCTCAAATGCATAAATAAATGGAAATACCCACGGTGAAATATAAATCAATTTATTATCACTGTCCGACTTAAATGCGGTCGGATCAATCAATTTGAAATCTCCCAGATCTTGGTGAAACCACACAAAGAGTTATATGTTTAGGTTGTCCTCTGAAAGCTAAATTAAGTTTTATTAAACAACCGGCAGGGCAAATGGCTTACATTATTTGGGTAAATCTCGTGAGTACTTTGAAATAATTGAAACTATAACTGACCGTTATTGATTGAAATGTGTTAAGGCGGAAATAGCTTGTGAAAAAATTGCAGAACAGCTAAAAGTCCTAAACATAGATGTTAATTCTGAAAAGACGAAAGGAATTATATTTTCATAGCAAAAAGGAAAAAAGAAAATGCCAAACGATTTCAAAATTAACAATAACAGTATTAAATTATCGACTGACTTAACATATTTTGGCATTCACTTCGACAGGCATTTAAAATTTACTAGACATTTTGACAAAAAAATTAAAACAGTGAGATCTAAGACGTACAGACTCCAAAATTTAATTCGGACAACAAACCTATCTTTACGCCTAAAGCTTATAGTCTATACAAGTATAATACGGCCGGCTCTGTTGTATGGTGCACCTCTGTTCGAACACATCAGCAAAACAACTCTGAAAAGATTACAATATTTCCAAAATAGAATAATTAGAAAAATTGTTAGAGGAACCACGCAGCAGAGGAAGAAGACATTGGATATTCAAGCAACACTAAATTTATCAATAATAAAAGAATTTCTGGCAAAACGAAAAAATCATTTTTCGAAAAATCCCCACAATTGGCAAACCCTCATTTCAACAACTTATTACCAGCCCAAATCCCAAAGCGTTGGCAACAAATCACATGAGATAGATGTTTTATTAATTTAGTTGTAAGTTCTAGAGGATAAAGTCAACTCAAGCCTGAGGTGAGCCCTATCACCTCTTATATTACAGATGAAGAACAAAATACTCATAAACGACAAAAAAAAATCAAAACATACACCTTACAATGCTTTTAAGCAGTAAAAGGACTACTATGAAAAAAATGAAAAGGATCCAAGTGAAAAATAAATAAAAAGTGGGTATGAAAAAGGGAAAAAAATGTGTTAAACAATAACAATAACCTTGTTGGGCAAGATTTTTTATTATTGCTTGACTAAGGCTAAACCACACAAAAGGGTATGTTTTCGGGTTTTTAGCTAAAAGGTTTGTAACGATTTTTTGAATGAATGGCAGGATCGATTTTTAAGATTAAAAGCACACATTATTGGGCGAGATATCGTAGGAATTTTAAACAATTTGGGTTCAAAATACGAAAAATTATATTCTGAAATATGTTTTTATCAATCCACTATATTGAATATGTATCCACTATATGTATTGATGCTTTGAGTGAACAACATGACCGATTTTTAACTCTCTTTAACTTATTTATTGAAAAATATTACAATCTGTCTCAAAGGACATTTATAATAGTGTTCAGAGATCACATTCACACTCTATTTACAATAAATAAAATAAACTATTCAGAAAAATAATATATATGCAATAAATAAGAATAAAATAACCTAAAAATAAATAAATAAAAAGAACACATACGTACGTATCTGATTTTTTTTTTAAAGTAAAGTGTTTTAAATGACTCAAGTGAGATACCGTTAATATTTTGAAATAATTTAAGCTAAAATATGGTTGTTTAAGCTTAAATTTCCATTTGTTTTATTGCATATCTTGTGTAAGATCTTGATCAAATGTGTTGAATATAAATTGTCAATACTTACTTGAAAAAGTTTTAGATAAAAAAAACAATATTTGAATTTAAATCGAAAAATACTGTATGCCCTAAGTGAATATTCTTCCATTTCTGTTAAGAATGTTGTTACTTTCTGTTATTAAAAAAAACATGCTACTGTTATTAATCTTTAAATGTAAGATTAGAACAATCGTTTATTTTGGTTTCCTTGTGGAAGGTATCTTTACTTAGCTAGTAAGCTATAATATTAAAATGCCAAACCTGATGTTTAGACATTTATAAAGTACACAATACAATGGCATGTATGCATATGTTACAAATTTTAGTTTAACAACTTTTGAACGAAAATTCTATATAAATTAGTTCATTATCTATCATATCATGTTATAAAAGAACTGAGCGATTTTCATTTGTTATCGCTAACCGCAAAAACAAATGAACAGATTTACGCTTTCTTTTTTTTTAATGGTCCATATTGAAGGTAGGTTATATGCTATTGGGATCCTCCATCTGACCAGAATAAAGAAATTAAAAGCTTTTTAAAACCTTTTTTTTTTTTTTAAATCTTTTATGGATAAATATATTTAATTATATTCAGCCATTATATTTTTGTTTAAATTATATTGTTTTGTTTTTTATTAGTATGGGATTAGTGTTTGATTTTGGTTTAAAATGTCACCAGATCCACAAAATATTGGTCATCACATGAATACAATAAAGAGAAAACAAGAAAAAGTACAAGATAAAGTAGATTCAAAAACAGTATAACAAAACAAATTATTTTTATAGCATTAAGGAACAGGTTGGTGATCCTCCCCCCCCCGATAAAATATAGAGGAGACTTTACCTCGCCCCAGTTCATATTATTGAAATTTTAATATACATATTATATTGATAATTACAAGTTATCCTAGGATTTTATCATCCATTTATATGCACTCTTCCATTTAAGTGAAGATTTTATCATATTTTCTAAGACATTGGAGAATTGAGAGTTAATCTCAAAATATATCAAAGATTTATAAACATATCTGTTCATTTAAGAAAAAAAAATTTATAGAAATAGAAATCTCTTAGGATAAATTAAAGAGGACAGTTGGGTAATAGGGGTTCAGTACTACAATATTGGAGCTAAATTAATTGCATAATAATCACTGAATGAAATTAGAAAGGAAAGCAAAATCTATTTTATAGGTAAAGCATTGTAGTGATGGAATATAAAAATTAAAAAAATAATAATAACTGTTAATATGTAAGGAAAGAAATTGTAAAAACTAAAACAAAAAAAATATATAAAAAACAAATAATGATATACATATGTTCCCTAAGATATTTAAGTGATTATGCGTAAAGATTAGGAGAAGAAAAAATAAAATAAAGTATACATATATATACACATAGCGAGAAGTGTGTTGAAGATAATTTGATAATAAAATACATTTCACTGAAATACATTTCATGAATAACAAATTAGAAATTAAAAAAACAAATTTTATCTACTCACAATGCTTAGTGAGTGGTGATGAAAATTCACGTTCAACACAGAATAAAACAATAAAAAATAAGAGAAAAAAAATAATGTCTAAAGAAAATTAAATCCTTATAACATAGTATGTATTTAACCAACGTCTGATTGGATTGTGAATAGGAATTGGAATAAGAGGGTTTTAAAAGTGGATAAGGATGATGCATGGCGGATTTTTAGTGGGATGGAATTCCAGAATGCAGTGGAACGGACAACGAAGGAATGTTTAAATGATGCAGATCTGTGGAAAGGAGTGTAAAGGTCAGAAGGACGAGATCTTGTGGAGAGGGTGTGGATAGATGATTTGAATTGTAGGAGATTGTATGCGTAGGACGGACGATGACTGTTGATTATTTGGTAAAGGAATGTGTCTAGGAAATATTGTCTTCGGAAGGAAGGGAAGAGCCATCCTAATTCAGCATAGGGCCCCTTTGACAAATCTTACGAAGGCATTCATTATTCTTTTCAGTCTCTCCCCGAGTTCTGCCGAGAGACCACCGTACACCACGCAGCCGTAATCAAGGTGGGGGAAGATGAGGGAAGTTACTAGGAGTCTACGTAGCTATAAGCTACCAATAGCTTAATATATGTGCTAGTGGACGGTGCTGAGACTGTCGGTGTGTCCCTGGCCTGATCGAAGCTGTATTTTTTAAAATTCTAGCTTTGAAGAGGATCCCATGGTTGACTAATAAAAAGAAAATACCGGGATCGAAACGTCAATAAACAGAAGAAATGAACATTCAATAGTGTATTAAATAATAATTAAATGACCTTATTCCCAATAAATAGTTAAGTTACAATTTAATACTCAAAGGTCGATTAAGGAAAAGTTGTAAATATATATATATGTAGTTTATTATATGGTTCGTTTTACGATGATTATGTTTATTATTACTCATAATTTTTATTACCTGATAAAAATAATACTTTTTAGTAGTCCACCGCCCATCGCCAACCAGATACAAAGTATGGCAGAGATATCATGCCCACAGATATATTGGCAGAATATTTATTTGATAGATTTAAATAATTTAATTATAGATAGTTTATTTTATTTGTCTAAGGAAATTCCTGTACAAATAAATATAATGGTATAATTAACAATGTTAGATCTTGAGTCTAGTACTGCATTCAAACATAACATTAACAATGTCCACAGTATGACTAATATAATATAATATAATAACAGATTAGTAAACGATATATATATATATACATAACAATTAGTAAAACATTTTTTTTATTTTTTTTTATTATTATTATTATTTTTTTTAAATATTCGAGAGGTATAAGACAAATGACAATATAAATAAGCATTAATATATGTTATATGATTAACTTTACCACTTAACAGTTCAATGAACAGCCCTGTATGAAATAATACAGTTGGTTTAGTTTT